TATTACACTAAGACCAAAACCGAATAAGGACAACAGAAAAAAGGAAAACTATAGGCCAATCTCCCTAATGAACACTGATGCAAAAATCCTCAATAAAATTTTAGCTATCAGAATCCAACAATGTATCCATAAGATAATTCACCACGACCAAGTTGGATTCATTCCAGGGGCACAAGGATGGTTTAACATCCGAAAATCAATCAACGTTATCCAACACATTAACAAAAAGAAATATAAAAACCATATGATAATATCAATAGATGCTGAGAAAGCTTTCGACAAAGTGCAACACCCATTCATGATAAAAGCCCTTGAAATTCTTGGGATACAAGGAACATACCTCAACATCATAAAGGCCATCTATGACAAGCCAACAGCCAGTATCATTCTCAATGGTGAAAAGCTGAAAGCAATTCCATTAAGATCTGGAACAAGACAAGGATGTCCACTCTCACCACTGCTTTTCAATATAATACTGGAAGTCCTAGCCAGAGCAATAAGACAAGAGAAAGACATACAAGGAATCCAAATAGGAAAAGAAGAAGTCAAACTATCACTATTTGCAGATGATATGATAATATACATAGAGAACCCCAAAATCTCCACAGAAAAACTAATTCAACTCATCAATCAATTCAGTAAAGTGGCAGGATACAAAATCAACACGCAAAAGTCAGTAGCCTTCCTATACACAAACAATAAATCTGAAGAAGAAGAAATCAAAAAAACCACCCCTTTTATTATCGAAACAAAAAAATCAAATATTTGGGAATAAATCTAACAAAAGAGGTAAAGGACCTATACAAAGAAAACTATAAAACACTGTTAAAAGAAATAGAAGAAGACACAAAGAAATGGAAAGACATCCCCTGCTCATGGATTGGAAGAATAAACATTATTAAAATGGCCATCCTACCAAAAGCAATATACAGATTCAATGCTATTCCAATCAAAATCTCAATGGCATTCTTCAAAGAAATAGAACAATTATTGATGAAATTCATATGGAATCACCAAAAACCCCGAATAGCCAAAGCTCTACTGAAAAAAAAAGAAGGAAATGGAGGCATCACACTCCCAGACTTCAAACTATACTACAAAGCCATAATCATCAAAACTGCATGGTATTGGAACAAGAACAGACATACAGACCAATGGAATCGAATAGAAAATCCAGAAATAAACCCACAGATTTATGGTCAACTAATCTTTGACAAAGGAGCAAAGACTATGCATTGGAGCAAAGAAAGTTTGTTTAATAAATGGTGCTGGGAAAACTGGGTCGCTACATGCAAAAGAATGAAGCTTGACCACTACCTCACACCATACACAAAAATCAACTCAAAATGGATTAAAGAACTAGACATAAGACCTGAAACCATAAAATACATAGAAGGAAATATAGGCGAAACACTACGGGATTTGCACATCAAAGACATCTTTACAGACACATCACCCAAAGCAGTGATAGTGAAGACAAAGATAAACAGCTGGGACTACATCAAATTAAAGAGCTTCTGCACAGCAAAAGAGACAATAACAAAAACAAAGAGAAACCCCACCAACTGGGAGAACATTTTTGCACCCAACACTAATGATAAAGGACTGATCACAAAAATCTGCAAAGAGCTGATGAGACTCAGCAACAACAAAGAAAATAATCCAGTCAAAAAATGGGCAGAAGAGCTAAAAAGAAACTTCTCTGAAGAGGAAATGCAAATGGCCAACAGACATATGAAAAAATGTTCAACATCACTTGTAATCAGGGAAATGCAAATCAAAACTACCATGAGATACCATCTCACACCAGTGAGAATGGCACATATTAAAAAAACTAGCAACAACAAATGTTGGCGAGGATGTGGAGAAAAAGGAACTCTTGTGCACTGTTGGTGGGAGTGCAAACTGGTCCAACCACTATGGAGAGCTGTGTGGAGATTTCTGGACCTACTAAACATAGAGCTTCCATATGATCCAGCAATTCCACTCCTAGGTATTTACCCAAAGGACACAGAAACATCAATTCCAAAGAGCACCTGCACTCCTATGTTTATAGCAGCACTGTTTACAATAGCTAAGCTTTGGAAACAGCCCAAATGCCCAAAAATAGATGACTGGATCAAGAAGATGTGGTACATATATACCATGGAATATTACTCAGCATTCAAAAAAGATAAACACATGCAATTTGCAGCAACATGGATGGCACTGGAAGGGATCATGCTCAGCGAAATAAGCCAAAAAGAAAAAGAAAAATACCGGATGGTCTCACTCATAGCAGGAATCTAGAAAACTTAAATAAGGGACCAGGAAAATGAATATAAGAAAGTGAAAATCAAAATCAACAAAAAACTATGAACCAGAGACACTTTTTGGGGGCTGGGGGGCGGGAGGGAAAGGATTGGGGTCAGAATGGGGCGTTTGCAATTGTATGGGGGAATATAAAAATAAAATTTAATATTTAAAAAAAAAAAAAAAAAGACATATGCTACAAAACAAAACAAAAAAAAAAAAAAAAAAAAAAGAAACATTCCAGGAAGTCTCCATGGTTCATACCATTTCAAATCTCCTATGTTCATGTTTCATCTTGGATATTATTAGTCCCTATAGCTTCAGTTCTCTAACCTTTTGAAGAATGGCAATAGACTTCTGTTTTAAATCTCCTAGGATTCTTTCCCTTTCTCATAATATTTATATTATCTTTTGCCTGATTCTTTGTCTTCCTCTGCTATAAGAACTGTGATTTCCTTAAAGAAAAAGGCCATGTAAAAATTGACTCTATCACTATCAAGTAGTATGGTTCTTAATACAGGGCAGAGACTCAGAAACTGCTAGTAGAATTTAGTTTAATTAAATTAGCATTTGGAGTCAATTTATTTGATAGAATTGTGATTAAAATATAAATCAGATAATTTTTCTTGTTGGTCTCAGAGCTGAGTAGGCTTTAACTAACGGATATGATGACATTCAAATAGATGGTCTGCCGTAATGACATTGTCCATTCTTATTTTGACTCTTTCCCTTTCCATGGTTATCATGGTGAACCTTAACATGGATATAGTTTGATAGCCAAAATAATCATCACTCATTACATTTTTTGCGTGGCAAGAAATAAGTGAATGTGATTACTCAGCTGTTTTTTTTTTTTTTTTAAAGATTTATTTACTTATTTATACAAGCACTGGGTACAGTCAGAAGCACGGGAGGGTGAGAGAATTCACCAGAGCGGGGAACAGAACAGGCAGACTGACGAAATACACTGTTGAGGGGAGCAGCGGGCACGGCAGGAGAGGTCTGTTGCACCATGTGGAACCCTCGCTGGTGACTGGGGATCGAACCAGTGCTGCAAAGGCTGTGGGCAGCTTTGCAGCCCAGCGCTCAACTGCTGCGCCACCAGGGGAGGCCCTACTCAGCTCGTTTAATGGGCCATTTTATTTAGATTGTTACTTGGTTGAAGGATTTTAAAAATTATTAATTATGCTAAGTCCTAAATCATTGGGGAAGGTATATGTTTTATTTGTTGAAATACAACTTACTTTATTTTTTTTTAAGATTTTTTTATTTGTACATTCAAGAACTAGGGCACAGGCAGAGGTGTGGAGGGTGAGAAGATTCACCAGAGATGGAGTGGGGAACAGAATAGGCATATTGACTGAAATACACTGCTGAGGGGAGCAGTAGGTGAGTCAGGAGAGGTCTGCTTTGCCATGTGGGTCACCTCCCTGGCTGGGGATTGAACTCGTGCTGCAGTGGCTGTGGTAGCTTAATAGTGCTGCATCTTAACTCCTTGCGCCACCTGGGAGGCCCCAACTTACTTTATTTTGACCAGATCACTATCTGACACATAAAGATTTTGCCTCGCATGACCTTGTCTGTAGAAAGCAAATATAGTTTTATGCTTTTCCTTGAAAGGATTTTTATGTTGTCTTTCAAGTGATCATAAACATTTTGTACTTTAATCTGACCTTGTGGTTATAGAAATATTAAGGCATGTATATGTGAACAATGTAGGACAATGATTTTCAATCTTGGCTACATGTTAAAAGTTCCTTAACTTGGAGTTGGAGGAATCTTTTGAAAAGGCAATGTTTAGAGTTCTTCCCCCAAACATTTAAACCTTCTCTACAGAGATAAGATCACAAAAAAATTGCTATGTTAATATGTAAACAAACTCTACTATCACCTCTGAGTCTTTCCTATTTGTATCTTACAAATTTTGATATGAGTGCTACTAGTAACACTAGATGCCAGATGTTTCATAATTCCCCCCTTTAAAGTGATCCTTTTTAAAATCGAAGTTTAGATCATACACTGATACATCTTCAGAAATCTCTTGAATAGCCTCAATTCTTGCCACCATGTCATACTTTTGGGTGCCCCTATCTTGAAAATGCTCTAAACAAGGTGATGGAAGGTGCTGTTAATGATGTTAAAAGAGAGTCAAACATTCCATTTTTGTTATTGAATAATGTTAGCTTTATTATTATAGTAGAATACAGTATGACATAAAATTAAGAGCTTTTGCTAAACTCTGTAAAGCAATACATGCATCTGCCATAAACAACCTCAATTCATGTTAGGTTTTATTGCCACTTCACTGCACTAAGGTGCAATAAACATTCAGTGTCAACTTTAAAAAAAAAATTCCTGGGAATAAACAGGAACTCTCCTCTATAAGAGTGCATCTTTATTTTCAAGGAAGACTTAACTAGTATTACATGGTTTAGCAAAGCGCTGTAGAAAAGCTACAGAGAATAATTGGTGATAAATTGTGCAATCAATTTATACAATAGAATATTATCCACATAAACTAACAAACTAAGAAATGATAGAGATGCAGTCATTGCATAGCAGAAAGCAGACTAATAAGAAATATTCACATCTAATGTCAAAATACAGACCAAAAGTTAGCCATGAGGAATCTGGAAGGTCAAATGCTCTCAATAAACACAGTAGGTTAACGTCGAAAAATAACAAGATAAACAGCAACACAGAAGTTAGAGCCATTTTTTTTTATTTCATTTTCTATACATGATATCTACACATGATACCAGAGGATGAAACTTTCTAGGTTCAACCATTAGCCTAGCTCATCAAATTTAGGCAGGACCAAATCAAACAATAAAGCACATTGAAAAAGAAAACCAGAGTTTGTTTAGGAAACTACAAACAGTGTATTTTCCTACGTCATTGGATAGCAGCTTTTTGAGAAAAACATTGCCCAAAACTTAGGTGTGGATCCCAACTGTCTTATTTGGCAAATATGCTGACAGGTTTATTTTGTACTATTCTAAATATGTTTAAACCATGACCTGTAGATTCTGGACACTAATTTTAAATGTCTCTGAAACTCTATCAGACAAAAGGAGACTTCAAAAATACCTTCTGCATAAATAGCTATTTCTAAAACATCTGGGAAGTAATGAAACAAACTAGAATTTTCATAGGGTATATTTATGAATCTCTTGTAGTTAAAGCCCTTACATAGTATACCTACAAATGTATTGCTACAGTATAAATGAAATGTAATAATATTACTCAATAAAAGCTATTTCCTGTACATTCTTTCATGTATTTTTATATTTAATGCTACATATGGTACAACACTTATTGAAATAGTTGGTATCAGCAAAGATAGCATAATATACAGTTGATTTTCTAGCTCTCACTAATGCTTTCCACTTTCTATATTACAAGAGCCTAAAATTGGGGAATGCAGCATGAGTTGAGCAGATAGCAACTGATTTGCTACTGTACACCGGGCAGGACAACAATTTGAGATGGTAAATTTTCTTCACATAGTCATACCCATTTATTTTTCATTTCCATATGATTTTTATAAACTGTTCTGTTCTTAAATGCAGGCTCCAAATGTATATCCTTAGCACTTAACAACATTCTAACAGCAAAGAGCGGTGAGTCCTACACAATATTTTAAGAACTTAACTTTAAAAAAAGTAAAAAATGTACAATCTCATGCTGTTTATTTACATATATAATTTATATATTCTATTTTTGTTTACTAGTCATAAATTTCAATCTAAAAGCTTTTAATGTATTGTTATATAAAATAATACATTCAACAATTCTAGAGCTTGCAAAATATTTTTGCCCCTCTAAAAACATCTTCATAATAAGAATCAAGTGATTATTGTGACCATGTGCTATCTGGAAATAGGGTGGAGAAGAAAATCATTTTCAATTATTTTACTTTATCTTTAATTGAGTGAAAGTCTTTGTTCAAATGATTTCTCATGGAGTCTAGTGTAAAAGCTCAGATGATAGCAAAATAGCCTATTTAAAGTATTTCTCTCCATTAGATTAAATGTGTTCTACAGTGAGAAATTGCATCTTTGCCTATGCAATTTCTGTGAATTTAAAATAACATTTAACAACAAAATAATGTATTAGACATTTTTAAAAAGAGAAAGAGTGGGGATTTTCAGCTTTGGAAATGAAATGTTAAAGCTACACAACAGTTTAAAAACAAAAAAAAAATGTACACATACCATAGTTTGTGCAATACAGATTTTTAAAAATCTTGCTTTGTTAAACATTTAATAATTTACTCTTTTAAATACCTTCCCATAAAAATATTTTGACATTTACAGTTTTTTTTTAGACTATTTGGAAATATATATCTACAAATGACCTGGAGTTACAGTTTTTATTTTTCCTCTACTTTTCCTCATATCTTTGAACCTACTTCCCCCTCTTTTCCTCTTTCTTGTTTTGTCTCCTTTGTTTAGATTTCACTCTGGAGCTCTCTCTATCTCAGAATCCTGTCTCTCAGCTGTATGCTCTGTTTTGCTCTGGACTGCCAGACAGGGGTCTGTTGTTCTTGTATGAATTATGCAAATAAGGGAACCTTCAAATTCTTAAGACAGAGGCAATAAAGCAGATGGGAATCACTGCATTGAGAACAGAAAGCAATTCCCAGCATGGCGGACTGAACAACATGGGTACACAGACCTATTGATGTGGGGTGGGGGCTTTGAGCTGAGGCTCTCGGTTTAAATATGTCGCCCAATAGACCAAGTTAAAGATTCCAAATAGCAGCGGGAAGGCTATTCTTGACAGTCGGTCGATTTTGCTGACACTGTTAAAGGTTTTCTTGGGTTCTGGTGGTTTTGTCTCCGGTTTCACTTCTTTTGGTTCTATTGTTGCACTTTTAGCAATGGTGGCTAAGCCAGGGTCACCCCTTGCCAGATTAGGGGTATAGCTGGTTGCTGTGGGAGCATAAGTGTTGTTTTTCTTGATGAGAGGATCCTTCACTTTCTTTGGCTGTAGAAGGAAAGAGCAAAAGCATTCTGTTTAGTGAACTATGGGAAGTAGGTTTGTGAATTGCTAAGTAAAGTGAATTGCTAAGTAAAGACTTCCAATTAGAAAATGAGTAAGTTCTGGGTAATTTAATATACCATATGGTGATTAAATTATTAAGAGTATATATCTTAAATGTTCTCATTACAAAAAAGAAATAATAACTATGTGACAGAATGATGGTAACTATAGTGATAATCATTTTGCAACATATCGACATATCAAATCAACACATCTGAAACCTTAAATCTACACAATGTTATATGCATTATATTTCAATAAAGCTGAAAAATGCATATAATGTTTCCCAGGCTTTCCCAGCAAGAGAGAGAGTTGGTTTCTCCCATTTGTTCAATTTAAAATTGACTTTCAATTTTGGCAAAATTAAGCTGTACCAGCTTAGGAGCCTAACCTCAAGAGGCTTTGCAGCCTCAGCTTTTACCTGTGGGAAATGTGCTACTGTCATGTGAAGAAACCTAGACTGGACTACTGAGTGACTCATCAGAAACTGTGCAGCAGAGGCCCAGACAGCCCATATCACACATCACATGGTGAGGGAGGCCGTTAATAGATCATCTCCTCATACATCCTCCAGTTAATGAAACTACATGTATGAGCCCAGATGAGAATAACAGATGTACTACTGGGCTGTTCCCACCCCGAATACTTGGTGGTGGTTTTAGATTACGAGGTTTTGTTTTCCAGCAGATATCACTGAGCCAATTATGGGAAAATGATAAAGCAGGGTAATTCAGGGTATTCGGATTTCAGTCCTTGTGGAGTTTTATCTCCTTGTCAATGATATATTTAGTGATTGACCCCTGCCACATTGCTTAGGGTTTCTATCACATAGACATTTCTAAAATTAAAATGGATCATTACTTTGGGTTCCATGGTTCCATCCAGGTGCCACTAGCCCCACTTTTGGCTTTGAACACTTGAAATGTGATAGTCTAATTTGAGATATGCTGTGAATATTAAATGCATATAGGATTTTGAAGGCATAGTGCGAAAAAAATAAGAATGCAAAATATCTCCTTAATGTTTTGCATTATTACTATTCTAGGTATTTATCAAAAAAATATGGAAAAACATCAAAAAGTTATCTATAACCCTATGTTCAGAGTAGCATTTTCCAAAATTGCCAAGGCATAGAATCAACTAAATGCCCTTCTACAGATGACAGGATAAGGAAGTTGTAGTGTGTATACTCAATGAACTGCAACTCAGCTATTAAAATAGATGAAAGCTTGTCTTTTGCAACAACTTAGTTGGAACTTGGGGTAATTTATGCTAAGTGAAATGTCAGAAAATGAAAGACAGGTAATGTATTGTTTTACTCATACATGGAATATAACTAAAGCAAACAAATGGAAAAACACAACATAAATAACTCAGACTCTAAAAAATGCATTGGCTACCAGAGATAAAGGGGAAGGGAAGTAATAAATGAAGGACAGAGAAGGGTCAGTTGGACAATGTGATGTGATGGCACTAGAGTTTGGTGCTTGGCAAGGGATATGCCCATGTTGAGGTGTGAAGCTGTAATCATACAATTTTGTAAATGATTGGTAAATCAGTGCAATTTCCTTTAAAAATAATGCTGTTATAATTTTGTTTTGTTTATATGTTATGAGGATATATTTGATCTATTTGCTGTATTACATTATTAATCTTAATTTTCGTTTGTACTTTTAGATGAGTTTACAAGACCATTTTAGATTACATGACTAGCTCATATTTGTGCTCACTAATACATCTGCTGAACAGTGTTAATCTAAAAAGTGGCTTTCATCTTCAGTATATGCTAAATCACCAGTTAAATTTTTGAAGTGTAAATGTCTTGGGCACAATGTCATATTTTGAGTCAAAATTTCTAGGGAGTGGAGCCCAGTCTTGACACTGTAAAAAAAAAAATCACAGATAACCTGGAGGAGCTGCTAATCTTTTATTTATTTATTTATTTATTTATTTTAGGGTAGGGAACCCTGAAGGGGATATTTCTTTTTTCTTTTTTCTTTTCTTTTCTTTTTATATATTTCTTACATCATTTTTCATTTTTGCACAATATATGCATTTTCATCTTGGTTATAGTCCCTATACAATTCCCACCCCCCTAATGCCTCCTACACCTGCCCCCCGTAGTGTGTCTCTGATTTATAGTTGCTTGTTGATTTTGATTTTTACTTTATTATGATTAGTCTTTTTCCTGGTCCATTATTTAGGTTTTCTAAATTGCTGCTGTGAGTGAGACCATCTGGTATTTTTCTTTTTCTTTCTGGCTTATTTCACTGAGCATGATTCCTTCCAGTTCCTTCTGTGTTGCTGCAAATTGCATGAGTTTATCTTTTTTGATTGCTGAGTAATATTCCATTGTGCATATGCACCACATCTTCTTGATCCAGTCATCTACTTTTGGGCATCTGGGTTGTTTCCATAGCTTAGCTACTGTAAATAGTGCTGCTATAAACATAGGGGTGCAGGTGCTCTTTTAAATTAATGATTTTGTGTCCTTTGGGTAAATATCTAGGAGTAGAATTGCTGGATCATATGGAAACTCAATCTGTAGCAGGTTGAGGAATCTCCACACAGCTTTCCACAGTGGTTGGACCATTTTGCACTCCCACCAGCAGTGCAAGAAAGTTCCTTTTTCTCCACATCCTTGTCAACATTTGTTGTTGCTCGTTTTTTTAATATGTGCCATTCTCACTGGTATGAGATGGTATCTCATTGTAGTTTTGATTTGCATTTCCCTGATTACAAGTGATGCTGAACATTTTTTCATATGCCTGTTGGCCATTCGCATTTCCTCTTTGGAGAAGTTCCTTTTTAGCTCTTTTGCCCGTTTTTTGACTGGATTATTTACTTTGTTTTGAGCTGCTAATCTTGACCATACTGTGGACAACTTGTATTTTCATTATCAAATGAGAATAAGATATTACTTCCTGATAACCTGATACTTTTCATAAAACACAGTAAAAGGAATTTAACAGGTTAATATATTGTCCAGTTCTGTGGTTTATCTGCTACTTTTTTCTCCTCTTTAAATCCTTAAGCATATTTTGGTACTATAAGAAAGGCCAAGATAGGTTTTTATGTATTATTTCATTAAAAGTAAATGCACTTATTCCAAGTGCACATACACTTTTTTAAGATTTTAGATTTGGTTAATCTTTATGAAAAATAGAAATTTTCACTAATATTTGCACAAAAATAAAGTAAAAATGTTTCTTTTTAAATGTGGCCCAAATAACTATTATCTATCAAAAGTATATATGATTTATTTCAACACAGTTAAACAGCTATATTGGTCTTGTATTAAATCTTTTTCCTAAAAAATAAGAGTTCTGATATTCAAGGATACATAAAAAAGTATGTCCTTGAGATAAAAATGTGTATATTTTCTGATGTTAAAAAGAGGCATTGGTTCCAGGCCAACCAAAACTTTAGAGATGGATATCCTATGAGATGACTCTTTTACAAAAGGAGTAATTCTTGGATAAGAGTTTATATTACTTATAGATTTCATCTCTCCCAGTGACAATTCATTGGCATATCCTAATTAATACTAAAATTTCCCAAGTTGTGGTGTTTTTGTTTTAAAAAATCATATTAAGTAGAATTTAAAAAAATATCTAGTTGGCTTATCAGGAAATACAATTTTTCATCTTTTCATTTCGGGAAAAACTGTTGAGTTCCCTCATGTACTTTAAGAATCTGGTATTTATTTTAGCAATTAAATGTATGAGAATGGATCTTACATTTGATAATTTGATCACTTGATAAGTGATTGCCTATGGGGATTTTCTTTTTGTCTTCAATATATTCATTGTTACAGAATGGAAATTTAATCCTCCTGAAAACACTCACCTTGTCACAGAAATTATTTTATTTATTTTCCCAATGTCAAAATGAAACTTGGATCTCTGTGATCATATTCCCTATAATAAGCAAATTAAACTGGTAAAGCCCTAGAAATATTTTTACAGAGGCACAGATAATTTATAGAAATAATTGTTATTCTCATTAGTTATATATTGGTAATATATGTATATATATAATTTGTAAATCTATGTATGGGTAAGATAAGACATACCTATATAAGGACTCTGAATAACATGGTCTGTAGACTGTTAATGCTTTATATATTTTATTTGAGCATATATATATATATATATATATGCTTTATATATTTTATTTATCTGTTATTAGCTGAACAGTGGTTTCACTATCAGTGCCTTAACCCAAAATCTCTGCGTTCCAGACCAAATTCAATTCACCAAACAACTAGTCACTAACTTGCACTTAGGATTCAGAATCAGAAAGACAGAACCCTCTTGTAATATGCAAAGAAAGCCTTAAGATTAAGCAACTTCTCCCAATGTTTGCTTATTTTACAGCTGCATGTCACCAATATTTGGAAATCACTAATTCTAAGGAGCTTTAGTAGAGTATTAGAGAGATTCTAAAATGTGCATTTTTAAGTTTTCACACCTATGACTGGGCTATATCTTACAACTGGTAGTGTTTCATGTTCACTCCAGGTTTGGCTTTCTCTCCTTTGGGTTGCTCTTCTATTCTAGGATAAAGGGAGGCCATCAATGGCTTAAATAAGAATTTGACAATAACTCTGTCTCCACCTACTTACCCCTCTCTATAACTGGTAAACAGTCCCCTTGTTTAGTCTCTTCTCACTGCTGAACTTGTGCCAAGACTCTTGATTTGAAGATTCATATATATATATATATATATGTGAATATATATATATTCATATATATATATATATGGGACAAGCATATTTCAAGGAAGGATGAATTTTGAGGATGGTTTCTGGTACACATCACTGTAGTAGTATATCTTATACAGAACCTGTACTTGTACTATGCATGAGATCACTGGGATGTTTGGCTGATATATTTGTGGCTGAGGGGTAAATCTGAAAGATTTTTTTTTTTGGCAGCTAGTTTCTTATTCATAGATGATTGGCACATCATATAACCAGTAACAATCCTATATTATAGATCCTCTCAGACACTTTAGTATACAGTGACTCTGTGATATAGAATGCAGCATTATTTAAAAATATTTGACCACAAACCTATATTTCCAAGGTTTGTATCAAGAGACTAGTATTCTTGCACAGAATTTAGGAAAGTTTCTATAGGGTGACTTTAGATTACTTCTAAATGTCTTCTCTCTGTTCTTTAACTTTGTCCTTTTCTTCATTCCTTCATATTTGCCTTTTGACATACAGCAGATCCTCAAATAACCATGTTTTATTATGAATAATAATAAGAAGAAAAATGATCCCTGGTTGGGACCACCGTCTATATGGAGTTTGTGTATTCCCCAGTGTTTGCTTGGGTAATCTAGTCTCCTTCCCCATCCCAAAGACATAATGTGAGGTTCACTAACTGACCCAGTCTGAGTGTGTGTGTGTGTGTGTGTGTGTGTGTGTGTAGATGCCCTGTAATGGAAGGGTGTTCTGTTGAGGGTTTGGTGCCACTTGAGCTGCCAGGAGAGTGTGAACTAGAATGACTTGGAAAAAGAATGAATTAATGAATGAATGGCTATAAATGATTATTGAATATGTTAGAAGTGTTTGGAATCTTTATTCAGATGCTTGGTGATATTTTTCTGACTCAAAATGTGTCCTAGCATAAACCTCTTGTTTATATCAATTAGCTTATGTTCCAGTTCATTTCGTTATATGTTATTTTGCTTAAAATCACAATTTCTAATATCCTATATTACTGTATTTTTCCTTCAAATTCTAGAACTAGAAATATTCTCTTCCCATGATTTAAAATTCACTAAATTGGTCCTAATTGGGAAATAAGAATTTTCTACAGTGAAAATTTTCCTATGTTATGATCCCTAAAATAACCTATTTTCAGAATAAAAAGTGTTCCCTGCCCTTTACTTCACTGAACATTAGAAGTATATTTTGCAAACTCAGTTCAGTTGAGGCACTATTGTAATATACCATATAAAGTAATTAGACTCAGAAAATACTCAAAAGATGATGATTTCCAAGTTAAAAAAATTATACTTGTTTGGGTATGTTCTTTTGCTCCTAATGTCATGTTTGTTAAAACATTCCCCAAAGTAATAGAAAGAGAAGCAAAGTTTACCTTTGTTTTTCTTCTTTATGCCCTTCACTGTGCTCTACATATCTGTTCATTCAAACAACCTCTTTCTTTTGCAATGACAAAATTATAGCACATAATCATTTATGGTGTAAGAAAACAAGAATCCTCATTATGCTCTCTGCCTCTGCATTCTTCATACATTCTCTCATGTGAAAACATTCCACATCATGGATTTAAAGAGACATAACAGTGATGTATCATGGGAGATATTTACCTTTTCTGGAACCACACTTTTGCCATCCCATGCATAACCTCTCTTGGTGAAATAGTTCACAGTGGCAAACTCAATCAGAGCCGAAAAGACAAAGGCATAGCACACTGCAATAAACCAGTCCATGGCAGTTGCATAAGCCACTTTTGGAAGGGAATTTCTGGCACTGATACTCAATGTTGTCATGGTGAGCACAGTTGTTACGCCTGGGGGAAAAAAATAGGTGAATGTATAGTTTCCTACTACAAAACTTCACTGGAGGTAAGCCTACTTACACAAAGGGAAACCAACAGTATCATGAATATATGGTTTCTAGTTCATTCCCTTTGGGCTTAGGATAAATGAGCTTGAATTTAACCTCCCTGTATTTTGCAGTTCATAGCATGGTAGTATTGAGGTTGGTCTCTTGAGAAGCTGTTAATAAGATAGTGAACTCCTTTAAATGAGCATCTTGAACATGGTGTCCTGGGTAGGAAAAGAACTAATATTCCTCACTGTCCACAATGGTAATAAAAATATCCCCAAATAAGATATTGTCATTCCATAAAACTCAGCATTTGAAATAAAGAACATGGATCTTCATTGCTTCTGAGCCACAACACATCCTTGGATCCTGAGGTCTGTTTGATATCCTACCTGTGTACCTCAAATGTATAAACCAAAAAACTGATAGCTTCTTCACAGTTGATAACTTATAAATAACTGAATTATCTTGAGATAATAATCTGTTAAATTATTAACTCTTCTGATATTATATTATTCCCGGTTCTGGAATAACTACTCTTTTAAAGAAATTCTTAGAACACCAAGTCACATAGCTCAGAAGGTGCAAAACCAAAATTTGAACACATGTTTGTCTGATTCAAATGACTACAATCTCCCTTTCTGCTAATGTGTCTAATTTTCCCTGTTCTGCAAATCCATTCCTACTAATTAAAATTACCTATATTCAAAGCAGTTTCAATTCATTCATTTTTATCTTATTTAATAGGTATGTGAATGATGCCATCCATTAATGCTCTTTAACAAATTCTCAATCTACAGTGTAGTAGGTACAATGTTGTAAGAAGGCTTTTAAAACATTTGAAAATGTGTGGGGAAAAAAATATTGTAACCCAGTAGGGGTGTTCAGGCTATATTCAATGGAGAAAATCCTGACCTCTTCAACTGGCTAGCCCCACACAAACACAGCTAGGTGGCTAAATTTTCTATGTGACTTTAAATCATTCATTATATCCTAGTTTCATGAATTTCAAGTTAGATGATGTTTGTAATTATTACAGAAAGTGATAGGATTAATAAGAAACACTGAGATTTTTATTAAATCCTATTTTTGATACAAGGTGACAGTTGTAAGAACAGACTTTCTTTGAACTTTGGAGGAGGCATTACAGAAAGTTCTGGAGTATTGTCCATATTACATAACCAGTAAATGTTTTAAGGAATATTGACTGGTAAACAGTCCCCCAATTTGAAATACTAATTTTAACTTGAGCAAAGAACAAATTTATTGGTATTTGTTGGTATTTGGGGAACATAGTAACTCAATTTCAAATCCCAGCTCTATAATTGCTGAGTGACCTTGGGAAAACTGCCTCACAATTCTGAGCTTGTGTTTTGTTTTTTAAATTATTTCCTTGGAAATTAGTTTTAATAACTTTTATTATAACTTAGAGACCTATTGTAAGTATTAAATGGAAAATGTAGTAAAGTGTTCAGCACTTAGCTTGGGCAAAGTTAAATGTTATTGAAAACCCTAGTTCTTTCTGATAAATCCCTGCTACAGTAAATTACTTATTATTTATTGTTTTTTTTTTTTAAACTTGGCTTACACAGGCAATGGTCATAAACAGTTTGGGAGTGGGTATTCTTAAACCAAATGTGTATGTAAATTAAAAGCAGTTAATACTAACGTAAGAGAAGTAAGTGTGTGTCTGCTCATGTATGATGTTTGTGTGTGCAAGAGAGTAAGTGGTATTTTAATTCCAACTACAGAGAAAGGGAAAGGAACACAATATATTGAGTATTAAGTTCTAAGTACTGAGCCTGACAATTTAAGTATTTTATTTTTCTCACTTAACCTTTTAAACAGCACTATATATCCTTTCAACTGCAGTCTCCCATTATAGACAACTTAAGCTTAGGATAATTTACTTTGGCCCTAAAACAGGGGTTTATCTGTAGTCATGTGACCATAGTGCCTGCAAAGGAGAAAGCAGGAAGGTGAAGAATATGATGTTTTAAGACTTAGGCTTCAGGGTTTTTTGTTGTTGTTGTTGTTGTTATTGTTGTTTTTGCCATCTGGATGCCTTTTAACAAATGTTAAAAGTTATAAATGTTATAAAAATACAACTTTTTCCTTTTGTATACCCATGACTCTCTCAGGCATCTCACACAGCTCAGAGGAATGTGCTGAGTTCAGAGTATAAAGAATAGAAACATGTACTAAACAAATGTTAAAAGGGTAAAGGTCCTGGAAAATTGTATTTGTGATTTTACTGAAGGTATAGCATTAGATAGTATATATAACTTGATACACTAAAATACTTGCCACAGCTGAATTTATAGCTATGTAGTTATGTTCACCCACCAAAAGGGCACAAGTTGGCTGAGACATCATATTGCTGAAAATGTTAAGAGCAAGGTTTCTGACTTCTAAAACTTTCCAAAATGCTTTAGAAAATTCCTTGAAAGGATGGGTGGGATTTGTTGTGGTAAGTAGATGTTTAATTTACTAAAATGCTGGGCTTGTCAAAACAACAATAACAACAACAACAAAACTAAGTAAATATCCTCTGTGTTCTAACTTATTTTTTATATTTAATTTCTAATGAATAAAAGGCTCCAAGCACATATCCACTTAGAAGTGAGCATCTTGACTAAAGTTCAGTCTTCAGTTCTAATAAGTGACTTCACACCCAGTAATACTAATGCTAGTTAATATTAAGTGCTTTCTAATATGAATAGTTATGAAGGAAAGCAAGAGTTTGAAATGAACTGTTCATTTGCTCTGTGCCTGGGATCATTCTGGATCTTGACTGAGCTGTGTTCTTAGGTTAAAGTCAAAGAAGAGATTTGGTGGTTTCCAATCTCCTAGCACCTTACTAAATTTAGAAGAACATTATTTCTTCTGGGCACTTATAGCAGAGTCTTGCTTTTTTTCTGGAATAACTGATTTTTCATACCTTGCTTCTTTTGAAGGATGATAACATAGGAATCTCCACACATGAATAATCCTGAATTTAGATTATAAGCTTCTTAAAGCTTTTGTTATTCAGTAAAGAACATAACATGTGCCTAGCTGATATATTTGGAAAGAACATTGATAATTGTACCTTTCACCAATAAACATGTGTTTATTTCCAAGTAAATGATATTGCCCACAACTCCTTTCCATGTCCTGCCACTGCAGGAGGATAGCACTTTGGTGGGTACAGTGTTGTCATTAAGGGCACAGACTCTACAGCCAAGTGTTTGGGTCTCACTCCAGAGTCCTTCACTAATAACGTCTGACCTTGGGTAGGTTTCATAATCTCTGGTTCCTTGTGCAGGGGATATTTTTCATTTTCAAATGAGATAATATAGGCTTATTTACTAGAACAGAACCTGGTATTAAAAAAAAATATTGTGTATGATTTTATTGTTATTCAAATGTTAGTTTCATGATACAACTTTCTTGAGGAATAAGATTTATGTTCAGTACTCTGCTGTATTCTGTGCTTAGAACAGTAGTGGTAGTAGCTCATAAAAGACTTCAAATAATAATTCCTTGATAAGATGAATGAGTCAGTAAGTCCATATAATGAAATCATTTGTTCATATCAGCCTTAAATATACAAAGAAGATAACATACAGTGATACTTTCAGGAAATACCACTTTATATGAAATACAAACTTCCAAAATAGTAAATTAGGGGAATTTTAATAGAGTATTCCCATTAAAAAGTTATTACCCTTTAACCAATTTTCCACTAGATTGCCTTAACTAGAAGCATCTTGGGCATTTTAAAAGAAGAATGTGTATTTGTAATTCTTCTGAAGTATACATATTAGATAAATGACATCTCTCTGTACTGATCTGATAGTCATTGATGGCCTCTCCCTATGTAAGGAATCTCTGCATTCATCATGTAAAGAGGTAATTCTGCTGGCATTTTCTCAAAATTTGCAAAAATTGCACTGATACAGGATTCTGTATTCTAAACTTATGATTTAAATATTAATGTTTCCATGTATGTTTACAATCTAATATAATACATTTAATTTCTGCTTCATTCTATTTCTCTCCCCAAAAAGATCATATCAAATGTTTGTTAATCTCATCTATTTGCATGCACTACAGCTTGCTATTTAAGAAAAGATTTTTTGAATCATGCCATAATGAGAATGGAATGTATTGAACCTGTCTATTGTATTAACTACACAGTTTAATGTATGATTATTTTTTCATTCTATTTGCAATGTCACTGACATGATATACTTGTCCTTGAGACCCTTGCATGCACTTCTTAACTGGCACTTACCAAAGACAGTCCTGGCTGGTACAGACTCTCTGTTAAGCCAGAAGGAGACTTGGGAGAGAATAACAGTCATTATGCATGGCAAGTATGTTTGAATAACAAAATAGCCAATCTTTCTCTTCAGGTGGAAATGAGTGGTCATAACAACATATTCTCCTAGAGGGTGAAAGAGACAATAAGGTTGAGTATTTTGACCTTGAAAAGGAGTTATCTTTGAGTTGTTATTCAGCAGCAACAGAAGCCGGAAAATTAGACATATCCTTTCTTGTGAGACATATGGTTGCTAGAGAAAACACCTCTTATTCAAGAAAGAAAAGGGACATTAACATACACCAAAATGGCTCTGAAGATGATATTGAGTTGCCAGAGAGCTCAAGGATTTCCTCACATCATACATTTAAGAGACCTGTCTGCATATGTATTTACAGATTGACTTGAATGACCATGAAGGTAATGAGTTAATACTTGATGAGATGACAAAAGGGTTAGAACAGAACAGGTCCACAGTTTGTTCACTTTAGGAAATATCCAGGCTGTCTAATGGAGGAGCTTGGATGTCCAACTCAGGAGGACTGAATTCTGGCCCATCACTGCCTTTCAGTGGTTCTCCAGATGAAAGGTGTTTAACTGAGCCTGATCTTTGAAATGAGGAGAGTGGCATAGAATGCATAGTTTCTCAAAGTTTATTTTGAGCTACATCTTCATCAGAATCTAGAAGGTTGTTTTTTTTTTTAAGATAACATCTGAAGTTTATCAATTATTTATTTATTTATTTATTTATTTATTTATTTATATGTTTAGTTTTGTTGCTGATAATAAATGGCCTGAAGGTTTTGAAAATGTAATTCTTTGGGCCTCCCCGGTGGCGCAGCGGTTGAGAGCTGGGTTGCGAAGCTGCCCGCAGCCTCTGCAGCGCCGGTTCGATCCCCGGCTGCTCCCCGGCCACCGGAGGAGGGTCCCACATGGCGCGCAGACCTCTCCTGCCGCCCACTGCTCCCCTCAGCAGTGTACTTCAGTCCTTCTGCCTGCTCTGCTCCCCGCTCTGGCTCTGGTGAATTCTCTCACCCTCCCGCTCTTCTGACTGTACCCAGTGCTTGTATAAATAAATAAAATAAATCTTTTAAAAAAAAAAAAAGAAAATGTAATTCTTTAGGGCCTATCTATATACACAAACCATTCTTTGAGATGGGGCCATTTCTAATTAGCTTTTGAGCTTTCCCAAATCCTAGCCTGATCTGGGAAACAGTGGATGAAATAGATACTCTCCATGACTCTGCATACTCCACAGGCTGATTTCCTTTACAAATCCAAAGCAATAGCCATACAATGCTAATTTCAGGAGGTTGTTTTTTTTTTTTTTAATTGATATTGTCATATTTCCTCAATTACAAATCTTAGAAGATTTTTTTTTTTAAGATTCATCCAATTTATGCATACAAGAAATGGGATACAAGCCAGAGGTGTGGGGCTGAGAGGATTCACCAGAGACAGAGTGGGGAGCAAAACAGGCAGACTGACTGAAATACACTGCTGAGGGAAGCAGTGGGCGAGCCAGGAGAGGTCTGCTGCACCATATGAATTTGCTCCCTGGCCAGGGATCGAACTTGTGCTACAGTGACTGCAGATAGCTTTATAGGTTGTGTCTTAACCCCTTGCGCCACCAGGGTGGCCCCAAATCTTAGAAGTCTTTAATTTTATTCACTCTAAATATATGCTTAACCATGTGGGTGGGTAGATAAACACAATGTATTCTTAAGAAAATACCACTCTGGTCTTCACATTTCTCTACCTTTCTCCTTCCCTTGAATCCAAACTTTTCTACTCAGTCACCAATTTATGTCACAGCTCTTGGCCAGCCAGCTTCCTCCTCCCATAATGTGACTGTAACTGTTCATGACCACTTAATATCTATACCTGAACATCTCCATCTTAAAGATCTCAGTCTTCATTCTGGCTGCTCAACTTCTTTGCAGCTTTAAGAATTATACTATGCCGATTTCCCCTATTGTCTTTATTCATATTCCCCCTTTATCTGTCACTTTCATCAGTACTTTCTTCTATAAATCATTGATTATTTCAATTAGCATTTATTTAGCTCCTTCTATATGTCAGGTACTAATCTTCATCTTTCTGTAAAGTAAATGTTAAAGTTCCTGTCTACAGTTTTCTTCTCCATTTCTTCTCAACTCTAACAAGGACTTTTTCTCCTCATCTCTGCTCCTTATGTTATTTTTAGCCAGCAGTCTGCCATATCTATATCTCTAACTTTGCTTTTAATCATGACCTGTATTCCCAAATATCTATAGACCTTGGGGATCCTAGATATTAATTTTTTAGTGATGCCATTGACTAATATATCAAAACTGATATTAGTTTACCTCTCCCATAAAAAATAATGACTATCATATAGCAGAGCTGTTTCTCCACTTGCGTCTCTCTCCTAATTCATGGCACTGCCATCTTTCTGTTCACTCAGGCTAAAAATGTGGAACTAATCCATGGATGTTAAGAAGGGCTTCAGAACAAGACAACAAGGAATCAGCTGATCATTATAATTTTAATTTTGCAGTATCTCTCAAACTATCTCTTATCTTTGTTTACTGCTTTTATCTCCCTTGTAGATTTATTACAATCTATTTATCTTATTTATGTTCAGTATTTCTTTTTTTTTTTTTAGAGGCATGCTTTATTTATTTATTTATTTGTTTGTTTGTTTGTTTTGTTTATACATGCACTGGTACAGTCAGAAGTGCGGGAGGGTGAGAGAATTCACCAGAGCCAGAGCGGGGAGCAGAGCAGGCAGAAGGACCGAAGTACACTGCTGAGGGGAGCAGCGGGCGGCAGGAGAGATCTGCGCGCCATGTGGGACCCTCCTCTGGTGGCCGGGGAGCAGCCGGGGATCGAACCGGCGCTGCAGAGGCTGCGGGCAGCTTCGCAACTCAGCACTCAACCGCTGCGCCACCGGGGAGGCCCTGTTCAGTATTGCTTAACTCTAGTAGTCCTTAAGTTGTGATGTCAGAGTGATCTTTTTAAAGTGTACACAAATACTTTGAAAAACCTAAATGGATTCCCTGTATCTATATCAGCATTTCCCAACCTCAGCACTACTGACATTTATTTATACACTTATTTTTTAAGATTTATTTATTTTATACAAGAACCAGGGTACAGACCAGATGCATGGGAGGGTGAGAGGATTCACCGGAGACAGAGCAGGGAACAGAACAGGCAGACTGACGAAATACATTGCTGAGGGGAGCTGCGGGCGTGGCAGGAGAGGGCTGCTGCACCATGTGGGATTCTCTCTGGCCGGCTGGGATTGAACCTGCACTGCGAAGGCTGCCAACAGCTTCACAGTGCGGCGCTCAACCGCCTGCGCCAACAGGAAGACCCCACTGACATTTTAGACCAATAACTGTTTGTTGTTGTTGTTGTTTTTTTTTTTTTCTGGAGGACTATTAAGCCACATCCCTTCCCTCTACCCCATAAGAGGACAGTAACAAAGCTCTCTCCTCCCCTAGTGTGACAATCAAACCAGCTAAACCATATTTCAGACTCTCTACCTTATAGGTCTCTCATGCACTCCAGTCTTCTGTCTCAACACACAGTTTCACACTTCAATATCCTGACCTATGAAATTCCCTACTTGACATCTTCTGTTGCTGAATATTTTGTCCTGTTATGGACTGAGTTCAGCCCAATTATTGGGTCCCTCATGGAGTAGGAAGGAAAGTGCTGGAGAGAAAAGTACACTTGCTTTGGGAGCAAATGAATTTGGGGTCAAAGCCCAGATATTCTGTTTTCTTGCTGGTTAGACTTGGGCAATTCACTTAAACACTCTGATCCTAAGTCTTTTGACCCTTAAAATAATGAAAAGTATTTTGTAGGGAAAATAAAAAATAAGAGCTCTAATTAAGACCATGTTATATAGGTGGGGGGAGGAGGGATTAGGGTCAAAATAACAGGGTATGGGAATTGTATGGGTCTATAACCAAGATGAAAATGCATGCATTGTGCAAAATTGAAAAATGACATAAAAATTATATAAAATAAAATTTAAAAAAATAATAAAATTTAGTTTATGTTTGTTTTCCCTCCTCTTCAGTCAGAATGGGTAGATATTAGAAAAAAATGCATTTACTCTCTGTAGTAGGAAATCATCCATACATTCATGTATGCTTTCACTGTTGTTATTAATGATCACATCTGCTTTTTACTGATAAACTCTAAATTCAACATCATATTTAGCTCCTGTTTACATTTATAATAGTAATACCTCATAATTTGTATTTTAGCTAGTTTTGTGCAACTATCCCTCCAGCCAAACTGAAAACTATTTCAGAAGGCTATTTCCTTAGCTATGGCAGGCCCATACATATCCTAAGCATTCAGTACTTGCCAAGGGCGAAAGGGATGCACTAAGACTTAAGGGCTCTCATTCAAATCAACACCTATGAGCATCTCTCTCAAAAGTTCATAGAATGTTAATTAACTTATTTCCAGTTTCTGAAGATACCTTGGGTGATGTCTCTACAGTCATCTATAAAAACTGCAGAATTGAGGCTGCTAGAGGGGGAGGGAAAATGGGAGTGGGAACAAGGAGGGTAGAGGTCCAGTGGCCTTGGGCCAAGGACAATGGGTGCTGTGGCAGCACACATCTGAGGAGGTGGAGACCTATACCCTTAAATCATATATAGTGTTGTAAACCACCGTTACCTCACTAAAATAAATAAATAAGCATTTCAAATTTGAGAAAAATGCAGGAAAGTAATATACCCAGGACCCTGCTAATGTACAGACTTATGTGGACAGAAACATGTATTTCACCCTCCTAGCATTATGCAGTATGCATTATTATTCCTAACCATTCAGTTGTGATCTACAAAATGTCATGAACTCAAAGAACAAAATTCCATCTTTATATAATGCCAGAAAAATGAGTGTCTACGTACATTCTATTATTTTCTTTTGTTTTTAGTAATATGAAATTTGGGGAGATGCTGCAAAGAATATGATCTTGGAGATCTGAAGAACTATTATTTGATACTGCATCTGTTTCATAAGTCACTTCCTCACAAACAAAGAGAAAAAGAATAGGGTAATTTGAAGTCTTTTAAAATCATCTTCCTAAATGAAAGTAAATCTAAGAGTTTTGG